ATTTAATTTATATTGCGTAATTAACCGAACTGTTAATTGCATTTTGTTTAAAAGAACCTCCATCATGTAATGCACTTCATTCAAATGCCTTTGAGGGCAATACACTGAATTTAGATTTTATTGCATGCAACTTTTCGGTGCATGTATATTATTTAAGTAATCCACTGATAATCATGACGCCTCCCCCCATGCAGGGTTGCATTCTTGATTGCTCAGGCAGGCAAACACTAGCTCATTTGCAGAACACTGCGAGTCACCCAGGGTGCCTCGATGTCTCACTTAAGGATTATTATTATATTATTCCCATTCTTTTTGTTGTGAGAAAATATATTCCTCCTTGTGACAATCCATTGTCATCTTTATCCAAGGTTATAAGATAGTTATATTAGCTACAATTAGTCTGGGAATTTCGGATCTTGATGTCGGCAGCCATTTACCGATGTCACCACAGGGCGCACCCATTTTGTCTGGTCTAAACTTAAAAAAAAAAAAAAGCAATTTTACTGTAATGTGGGTTTTAGACGAAGCCATTTTTTTATGTGAGAGCCCTCCACAAACCGTGCTTGTTTGTGTCGGGCATACCAGCAACAAGGTGCAGCTTTTGGTTCGACGTCATAATGTGTGCAACCAAAGGCGTAACGCCACACGGAGTGTGTGTGTGTCGCCAACACTCTCCTTGACTCCCCCCTCCCTTTTACGCTGCATAGTAGGGCGTAGCTAGGTACTGCATATTAGTAGAATAATCTAGTGGGCGCAAAGGCATTTTCTGGTCAGACTGTGTATGTGGTAAAATGATGCAGTGCCCCCAAAAAAGTGCATCGACGAAGAAGGGTTTACGCATATACCATTCATTTGCCAAGCTGTCACATTGCGTACCATTCCAATAACAAATAATGCTGGTAAGAAAAAACAAAAGCAAAAGAAAAGAAAACATTGCATGTTATTGCACCTTTACTGAATTTGACAAAATGTCCAAGCCAGGTGATTTTTCTTTTTGTCTACATGTGCTCGTTGCAGAACAACAACAACAGACAAGAAAACATGCATCCCAAATTTCCCTTTCGTTCTCAAACAAAACTTCTTTTTTCCCTAAACAGTTATATGCTGTGTCCAACACCAGTGAGAAAGCTTTCTTCCTAAAACCAGTCAAATAAGGATTATATATAACCCCCTCAGTTGGGATTGCCAGATGCGGGATAATCTATGCGCTACACAATGGTGTCATACCGCCTCCGATGTAGTAAAATAGGATAAATGGAAAACCCACGAAACAAATTAATAGCCACTTCTAGCACCACAACAAAAAATACCGGAGACCAAAGCCTCTTCTTTAAACTAACACCTTCCGTCGAAAGTGTCATAAACAGAAGCCCAATGATATAACATTCTTGGAATACAATGTTTCAAAGATGTCAACAAGTGCCATTCATTTCACAAACCACAAATTTTCATGTTTAACCAGTCGGCTTGAACGCCCTGAATGCCAAAGCCCCAGCAGTGACTCCTCGCTCCTGCAGCCTAGACGGACGGTCATGCAGCAATGTATCTTTAGAAGTTGATTGGGATGAAAACCGAGCCCCTTAAATGTAGTCGTTGTTCTCCACTCTTCATGAAGTTTTGAATCGTTCATACATCCCTGTCACATTAGTGTCAGATAATACATACCACTCAGAGACGTGAGGAATGCGGATTCATTCAAGTGGGTCTGTCACAAAGTGAGCACTGAACAAGGGTTTGCACAGAAAAACAAATGTGACATGACAGATTCTCCTCCCAGCTAGTTTCAATTTAAATCTTTCATGCAATCACTACACTCCGCTTCACCTTAGCCGCAGCGAAGGCTAGAGGACTGAGCTGATTGCTTGGCAGTTTCCGTCCTTGAGCAAGAAGCTTGAGCTTGAAGCCTTTGCTGCAGTAAGTCATAAGGTAAAATGGAGTATAGTGAGTGAGCTTCGACAGAGGTGCCACATTACTAGGCTTTCTGCACCTTAGAAACTTCTCCTCTACATCAGTGACATAAGGTGTTGTAGCACTTTCGGTGTTGAGGACAAATAAAACAGCCATACAGGAGTGTAGTGAACAACATACCACTCAGAGGCGTGAGGAATGCTGATTCATTCTAAGTGGGTCTGTCACAAAGTGAGCACTGAACAAGGTTTGCACCGAAGAGCTAAATGTGACATGAAAAATTTTCATCCCAGCCAGTTTCAAGTTGAGTCGGCTTTCATGCAATTACTACACTCCGCTTCACCTTAGCCGCAGCGAAGGCTAGAGGACTGAGCTGATTGCTTGGCAGTTTCCGTCCTTGAGCAAGAAGCTTGAGCTTGAAGCCTTTGCTGCAGTAAGTCATAAGGTAAAATGGAGTAGAGTGAGTGAGCTTCGACAGAGGTGCCACATTACTAGGCATTCCGCACTGCAGAAACTGCTCCTCTATGGCAGTGACATAAGGTGCCGTAGCGCTTTCGGTGTTGAGGACAGATAAAACAGCCATATAGATGTGTAATGAACAACATATCACTCAAAGTCGTGAGAAATGCTGATTCATTCTAAATAGGTCTGTCACAAAGTGAGCACCAAACAAGGTTTGCACAGCAGAGCTAAAAAAACAGACTGTACGACCGATTCCGAGCTTAGGTGAAAATGTTTTTTCCCTCGTGCCGTTATGCTCGTAGCAACTAGTAACGTCGTCATCTTTAATCAGTAGTGTGGCAGGTGGATGGACTGCCATAGGCGCCATGTCTCACATCAACTTGACCTTATGCTGTGTAACCATCTATGTGATGTGCTTATGCATGACATTTGATCACTTCACTGTCCTATAAAACACCTCCTCCTCCTCCCCCCCCTCCCCCCTCCCCCTCCCCCTCCCCCTTCCACCCCCCCCCCCCCCCCAAAAAAAAAGTGTGTTTTTCTTTATAACTTGGCTCACTTAACCACGGTACTCCTAACGTTTTGAAATGGCTGAATGCCGGCAGGGGTTCAGTTTATGAAGAGTCACGCAACATTGTGTCATGAATCTGAGTGAAGAGGTTTTGTTTCCACATTAAGAGCTGAACTACAAAAGCACCAATGAAAGTCGGTAACAGAACGGTGGAGAATTGGTGTGCTTCGCAGATATAATCCGTAGTTGGTGACAGGTAAAGAGCCCACCGGATGCTCTGCTTCTGAAGATACCAGCTGAACGTAGCAAGGTACACGAAGAGAGAGAGAGAGAGAGAAAAGGGGACAAACACACTGCTGGTCGTCTTCGTCCTTTTTTTTGTCTCTCTCTTCGTGTACCTTCCTACGTTCAGCTGGCATCTTCAGAAGCATGAATCACTAGCCAGCTCAGTTAGAAGCAGACACGATGGATGCTCTGCCTCCAGCACGTGCTCGTCGCCATCCGCCAGGCTCTGCTTGTGCATGCGACAAAGTGTTATCATAAGCAGAAAGCTCGCACTCCGGGCAGAGTATCTATTTAGTCTTTAACCTGCCACCGACCATTGTGACTTTACCACAACCTGCATTTGGCTGTACAGCCCCTTCCTAAAACCACCCCGTAGTTCTGTCTTTCACCAGCCACCGGAGACTTTTGCCCTCTGTACATCATCTGTGCGTCAGAGATCGCGATCCACATTCAATGTGAATAGCACACACAAAAAATTGTTGTTCTTTCGTCGTCAGCAGTCACAAGTGATACACACTGGCGTGCCTTTGTGTATCGATACTGCGTGATGCACGTTAAAGACCTCAGGTTAGTAGTGGTACTGCAATGGTTAAATTTCTCACCTAGCGTAGAAACCAGTGTTGCTGTGCCTCAAAGGCAGACACAAATGCCATATTTTGTTTCCTTTGGGCGAGGGCGGGGGGGAATTTAGCTAGCCTCCAGAATTTCTGCACTAGCGTGTAACTCGGTAGACAATGCCACGAGCTACCTACCAAGCTACACCTGTTGCAGACTGCCTAATGAAGCATATCAAATTCTGAGGGGAATTCAGGTGGCTCAGAAACTAGATATCTTGTCCAGGCAAAGAAGTTCCACAAGCTAGTGTGATTTAAAGGCCACCACTGCGACAAATACCATTGCATTAAATGTTCATCTCCTCGAAATTGAGGCTGCACCATTTGGGAACTCCTTTTTTGTGTGATGGTCAAAGCCTCACAGCAGCGGAGAGGTAAGGCTTAGACCTATACTTTAAAATCTGTCTAATATATATATATAAAAATGAGCTGAACTTCTTTAATCATGAATAAAATTATTTTACGCTGCATGATCTTTTACAATAGCACAGCGACTCGGGGACAACAGCAGTCCCCAATGCTATGAGTGCACTATCTCTGCACAGCAGTCCTCCTAGCACATGAACAACTACAGCACGCAAGCCCTGCATGGCCAGCCCTCTGCCCGTATCTGGACAGCATGTACAACAATACTAGATTACTCAATCAACTCAGTTGTCGAAGCCCAGAGGAGGGGGTACTCCCCACCTCCACCCCCATTTTTTCTTCAACTACGCAATCTGTAGTTTCAAGCACCATCTAGGGGCTGCATTTCAAAACATAATCTTTGGAGACTCTACAGTAATGCCATCTCGAGGCTGTGCTTCAAAACTCATGTATTTTATTAAGTAATAATAAATTTATTCACCATGTGCATTATGGGGGGTGGGGGGCTGAGAAAAAAAGCTGTGCAAGCAGCTTGACTGTCCCCCAGCTTAATTCCTGAAAGCACTCAGCAGTGGTGAACAAACAAAATAAATTAAATAAATAAAATAAATATGCAAGTAGTACACACACAATGCACAAGCAATTATATATAACGCAATACTTCCTCACAATGGTAACTACACTGTAGTTACCACAGCAGCCATCCCAAAACGGTGGCATGTTAAAAGATGAGAGGCAACCTTGTAGGAAGAGGGAACGTACAGCTCGTAGAAGCAGCGTCTATGGGCTGTTCCATAAGTGAGGTGATCTAGCGATGTTGGAGTGTACTAAGGGAACTGTCGTGCACCACTCACCATTTTCAGGGTCAACATAGAGAGCATGGCAGTCCCTGAGAATCCTCTCATTCATGGACAGGGTGGCGGAATCGACTGAATTGGCTGCATTCCTCGGCTTCGTCCTCGAAGACATACTGGAAGTCCAGGGCAAGAATGCCGATTAGTTACTTGCATTGCGCTCCAAGAAGCAAGCAATGCATCGCCGTTGGTTCCAATTCACCTTAGCCAATAAATTCCCAATTTGGATTGGGTATACGATGGTGGTATTGTCAACACATCCAAATTTAAAAGAAAAAAATTTAGAGTTAACGAGAAAACAATACAAATTAAGATGCTTTAAGACGAATCTATCTAAAAAGGACTACAAAAAAAGGTAGATTTGCCTCAGAAATATACATACGCTTTAGTTATATCCTTCCAGGCTTTAATTTGCTGCGGAGGTTACATGCGAATCCTGTCACAGCGCATGGGACTTCCTCAAAGACAGTTCAGAAGTCCAGATTTGCCAAGATTGGAGCATATTAAAGTAATACACCACTTTATTCCAATAACTGTGGGAACTTTATACGGCTCGAACGGTGGAGATATCAAATATCTCATTGCATAAAATAGAAATGTAAAACATATTTTCCGCTGTTGTGTTTCGAACTACAAAAATTGCATGGCACGGGCACCGCAGCCAATATGCATTTGTGGTCATCCGACGTTACTTTCAACTACAAACAGCTATGTTTATGCCCGTGACAAGCAATTGCGCTCTGAGGTGGCCCCTTATAGGTTGTTTGCACATGACGTCAATTCGCCATTTTGTTGTTAGTTTGTTTTTTCAAACAAATTTACTACATTGAAGGATTACATCGTAACCGGTTGAGATGATGTCAGCGGTGCTGTACGGATTTGAGGGGGCATGTAAATCCTTGGAATGTTCGAGTTTGGCACATGCCAGACAGCTCGCAACAACAAAATGGTGGACGAAATTACGTCAGTGAAAACACCCTATAAGTGCACTACACATGACACAAACGTTCCCACGAAACTTTATCTGAAGTGACAATTCCGCGATGCGGTCTTTAATATGAGGTGCGAGATAGAGCGACGAGTACACGCACGGACCAGTGTGTATTTTTAACCTGAACCCCCCACAGAGTTCACCTGCTAGAAATTTGGTATAAATACACTCTCCTTCAACCGCCCTCCTAGCAACGGATATTGGAGCACGCTGGCAATTATTAAGTTTGCGGGTTAATTGGATTGTCGTCAATAGCAACGAATGCAGAACGGCATTCGCGCGGAAACTTCCAAAACATTGATCAGCAGGTGCCACATCACTAGAACGCGGCGCTGATGCAATAGTCTCTGATTTTGACGTCAGTAAACTTTAAAGGGCAGATTTTAAAGTGAAGCTGCTTTTTTATGCCTCGTTATTTCCTTTACGCAATTATAATGCGTTACAAGGCAAGGTGGGAAAAAGGTTCAGCAAGATTGAGCGCGCAAGTGCGCGACACCGCTAGATATCTTTAATTTTTCTTAGCAAATAATAATCAAACACCTCACCCTTCATTTGGCCGCAGAAAGAACTAAAGTGAAGCTACCAGGATTTTATAAAAGCAACCGTAGAAATTAAGTAAGGAAATATTAGTAGCACATACTGAGCTGCTCCAAAAGCTGCACTTTCTCGCTGCCAAAAGCTAAGCCGGTAGGTGCCGCCATCTGGCAGAGAGCTACGGAAAGTTTTGGCCCTCTTGCATAGTTGGTTGTGCCAAACGCGAAATCGCTAAAACTAGCGGCCTAGAACTACAAGGTAAATATGTCGTGAAAGAGGAAAGCTTTGAGAAAATATAATATAAATATACATATAAATGAAAATATAATTGAATATATCGGTGATAGAAGGAGGATTCAACGCTCTAATACGCGTATTATTTCAAATTCAAGTGAGATTATTTTTTTAATTTTTTTCTTTAAAGATTACCGTCTACAACTACAGTGGCTTAAAAAAACACACACCCCCTCCCCTTCTCCCCCCCAAAAAAAAAATGTCAGCTGAGTTAATATTGTGTCAGAAGACTACCCAATTCATATTTTGCTACATCGTCATGTATGTTTTTAATAAAAAGACGAAAAAAAAGTGCAACTCCTTGAAACCGAAACCCAAACTTCAGCAGAAAGCCGAAAGCCGCAACTACTCCCGGCCGCACTTTTTTTTTTTCTTCCTCGTTTCTTCGGTTGTGCGAAGCAGACGATAAAACGCGCAAGGCGCACAAAGATCGCGAGCGTTTTTCAAGCTCGACGACTCGGCGACGTCTTCGTGCGAACCAGCTTGGTGGTCGAGAATGTCGTACAGAATAAATGTTTTGATATGTACAAAATTTTTTCTTCCGAAGCTAGACAGATTCGCCGGTAGCGCGAACGACAGTTCTGAAGTAAAGGTCGCATGCCCGTCGTCCTTTGCCATCGTCTTCGTCCAGCCGTCCAGCCCGCGACTCCAGCGATACGACGCCATGTTGAGAACCAGTACATGTAATACTTCCAATTCCCTGTGAAACTTTTTTTTTTCCAATCAGCGTATTATCAGCTTTCTAGAAGCCGCAATAAATAGGTCTCATACTTTTCTACCACGACTTCAAATATATTTTGTACGTGTGTCTGAACGGCACGTAACCACGGAGAAGAAAGTGAACGACACTCCAACCGGCCAGTTCTCAATCGGCGGGTATTCGGGAGGAAAAATTCAGAATTTTGAGCCGCAAATTGTGTTTTGGGTAGCTGAGCTCTCATACGTCACGTAAAAATACAGGAAGACCCATTGGTAGATCCTTAGGGAATGCGTTAGCGTGACCCCTGGGAAACGCAAGGGGCATCCTCTGCCTGACGCTGCTTTTGCTGTTCACCGGTTTCGGCAGCCCGTCTCCTCCATTCACAATCTGTCTTTTGCCGCCTACTTGGACCAGCAATCCGCACACCTGCAAGTTCAGACTCGCCCCAGCATCCGCGCGCGAATTGGCTTCCGCCCCGCCTTTGTCCTTCATTACTCTCACCCTCTCTGCGCGTCCCTTTCCAGTTTTTCTCACAGATGGACGCCGCCAGCCTTTCCTTGCCATGTGGGTACTAATGTTAACGCAATGATAAAAACGTTGACGAGCATAAAAATCCTGTCATTGCCCCTTGGAAACGAAAGTTTAGCTAATTGTGTTGTGTGTATGTTTATATAGGCGGAAGTTAATCAGTCGCAATGGGCGTTTGGTGTTTAAGCTGTAGATAATAAATTTTTCCAGTGCGGCTGCGGTCCCACGGCAACTATCTTGAACAAGGCGTTAGTTCAACCAATAGATGGCGACACGCACCCGTGGGGTGTAGAGTGCCTTCATACACACGCGCGCTTTTGCTTGAGTGGTGACATCTCAGCCATTTTTCCGCCCAATTGTTTTTTGTATGCATTTTGAAGTGCGCGCAATCTGGTGTCACTCAGCTCGGGCGCGTAGCTTTGGCTAATGCATAGACGCCATTTCACCGCCCAAGTCACGCACCGAGTGCGCGAGAGCGTCACGCGCTGGCACATTCGGGGCAACAATGGATGTCTTCACCCTGAGACAGACAGACATGTAGGCACCCTAGTGGGGTGGCCGAAACATTGGTTCACAGTTGGATGGCTCGAGCACCATCACGTTCCCCTCGTGGCCTTGCTCGCGCCGCTGCCAGCTGTGCTCACATCAGCTAGCTCAAGTAGCATGGCACAGCAAATGGATGTATGCGAGAATGTCAGGCTGGGTATAAATTGTTCTCTGATATAGGGAGATGCGGTTCGGTGGTTGTCACGGGCTTTCGCAATAAATCTTACCAAGAAAGAATCAAATGTTGATTGACGTGAACATAGTGACAGTTGCGCACACAGGGACAAGGACAGAGAAGAGGAACACGTAGACGACAGACAAGCGCACACTCACAACTCATGTATTAACGAAAGAAGAAAAGAAAGTGGTACAGAACACGGAATCCGCTCGAGCGTTGGCCACACAGGCACGAGGGACCAGAGGCCCGAGGGCTCGAGGGGTACTGTTAAAATTACCCACACGAAAATGATTTTAAAAAGGCAATTTCCTCCTCTGTTAATGACACAGACGGAAAGCTGACACATCGCTCGCCCATGCTTAGAATAATGAAAGCTTCAAAAATCTCTCTGGTGTGTTTTTCCCGGTACCTGCCTATTATCTTGGTGTCCGCTAAGAATGGCGTACAATTACACGATTTACAGTGAAGGGGTAGATGGCCCCCCACCGTAGACTTTAGAGAGAGATTGTGCTCTCGTAGCCGGTCGTTCACACACCGTCCGGTCTGTCCAACGTAGCTTTTACCACATGAAAGAGGGATACTATATACTACACTCAGGGAGCAGGGCACATAAAAGTGGGAGTGGTTCTTGTGGCACGTATGTTTTTTAAAATTGTTTACCTTAGCATGAACTTTTTGACAAATTTGAGCCATTTTTTGGGGGGCTGACATCACTAAAGGGACCCCGTAACGGCTAGCCACCTTTTTAAGATTGTGGGAAATTTTATGCATATACGGGACGACCACAATTCTTTTTCTGTCAAAAGCGGGCTTAGGTTTTTGAACTCCCTTCACTCTCTTGACCAGAGTTCCCACTACCTCAGTCAGCACCTGCATAGGAAAGCCCGAGGATGTCAGCCTCTCAATTTGTGCTTCAAAACTACATTGGAGGGTATGATAACAAGACTTATTTAAGGCGCTTGTAAGGCATGACATAGCTATACCCCTTTTAACGACTTTGGAGTGAGAGGACGTGTAGTTTAGGATGCCTTTCTTGGAACGAGGGGAAAAGGTCCAGCACAGGTGATTGGGTAGCAGAGAAAGCGAAAGGTCCAGAAATTGCAAAATTCCTTCCTTTGGCGTTTCACAGGTAAAGACAAGTCCCAAACCACATTTGTGGAAAATGTCCATTGTCTTACAGACAACATCATTATCGACCGTTTTTTTGTACACTAGCAAGAAGTCGTCGACATATCTAAACACTTTTGTGACAGTCGTGGAATCAATGGAAGACTCAATAGCACGGTCAACACCCGAAAGAAAAATATCGCTTAAAACCGGTGCTACACATGAGCCAATGCACACACCCGACTTTTGTAAATAAACCCCATTTTGCCACTCTATGAAGGTGGAACTAAGATAGAAATGGAGAAGTTCTAGGAAACTTTCCAACGTTATCCCACTTGAGTTCCGGAACGAAAGTTCATCATGTGACTCAATGCAGGACCTGACAGAGGCGAGCAAGGAATCATGGGGAAGTGAGTAGAAGAGGTCTTGAACATCCACGCTGAAGACACTGTGATTGTTAAAGTCATTTGTCTTCAGAAATTCAAGAACAGCCTCCGAATTGCTGATCAAAAAGGGGTCGTTAATTTTTAACCCTGAAAGGTGTTTCTGCAGATATGTCGATCTTTGCCGTTGCCACGAACCTCTTTCAGTAACAATGGCTCGGAATGGGCATGCTTCCTTGTGTGTTTTGGCACTGAAAAAGATTTCTAAGTGCAGCTCTTCAGCTTTTCTGATGTTGGCAGCTAACTGTGTTAACGTGAGACGTTCACACAGACTGAGAGCCTGGCTCTTCACTTTTTTCATCACAATCTGCACCTGTCGGAAGTTCTTTTGTACTGCTGCGCAGGCTTTTTCATTATACATGCCTTCAGGCATTATCACGAAGGAGCCTTCTTTATCGGCCTCCAAAACACGCTGTTGGTTGTCGACCAAGAAGTTAACCAGACGCATAGGATCCTGGGTCTGGACTTTCCCCGAGACAGAAATAGCGTCAACACATTCCGATATACATCGAGGTCGTATCTTCTCATCAGTCTTGTACGCCACCTTTCTTGCCAAAGTAAGTAGTTCCGGAGGGCGCAGATTCGGTTGAAGGCAAAACTTGGGGCCAAGATTCAAGGTTGATTGAAGTTGTCTGGAGAAGAGTAGATTCTTCAAAGACTGCCTGTGGGTTGCCTGTGGCGCCAATGGGGCCGATTCGTACCGGCAACGACGATCCTTTTCTGAAATGAATAGGAGATTGAGTAATGTTACCGAGTTTTTGTGGCAGCGAGTTCGACAAAACCTCCCCAAAAAGAAGAAAAAACCTTTTACAGCTGCAGGGAGATTTACCAACCTCGGGGATATTGTGGTACCCCCATTCCCTTCAATCAACCTTGAATCTTGGCCCCAAGTTTTGCCTTCAACCGAATCTGCGCCTTCCGGAACTACTTACTTTGGCAAGAAAGGTGGCGTACAAGACTGATGAGAAGATACGACCTCGATGTATATCGGAATGTGTTGACGCTATTTCTGTCTCGGGAAAAGTCCAGACCCAGGATCCTATGCGTCTGGTTAACTTCTTGGTCGACAACCAACAGCGTGTTTTGGAGGCCGATAAAGAAGGCTCCTTCGTGATAATGCCTGAAGGCATGTATAATGAAAAAGCCTGCGCAGCAGTACAAAAGAACTTCCGACAGGTGCAGATTGTGATGAAAAAAGTGAAGAGCCAGGCTCTCAGTCTGTGTGAACGTCTCACGTTAACACAGTTAGCTGCCAACATCAGAAAAGCTGAAGAGCTGCACTTAGAAATCTTTTTCAGTGCCAAAACACACAAGGAAGCATGCCCATTCCGAGCCATTGTTACTGAAAGAGGTTCGTGGCAACGGCAAGTATCGACATATC